TGTGAAATGGGCAAAAGGAGGAGTATGTGGGGAGGAGGGAGAGGGGTGAGGAGTGAGTTCTGTGTGAAATGGGCAAAAGGAGGACTATGTGGGGAGGAGGGAGAGGGGTGGGGAGTGAGCTCTGTGTGAAATGGGCAAAAGGAGGGGTATGTGGGGAGGAGGAAGGGGTGGGGAGTGAGCAAGGAAGATGACTAAGAGTAAAGAGTGTGAAGATGCTTGGTGAAACATGCTGCACCTCACGCTAACTTTAAAGAGAATAAGAAAATCCTGGCTTTGAAAACAGTTCTATTTTCTGAGATCATAACCAGAAACCTGAAAGCCAGAAATCTGGGTTACTGAGTTGTATTGTTTTTGAGACTGCTGACTTGTTTAAGCAGTTTAAATACTACCTGTCCCATTCCATCTGTAGAGACCAATAGTCTATTTCCTGTAGGGTCTGGGAGTGTTAAGTGATTCGTTCAGTTAGATTAGCTCAGTGTTATCAATTACCAGCCTAGTCGAAGCAGAACGCAATTATTTCAACTTTCGTCTTTTCACTCATGACGTCAGACGAGTCAGTTTTTAAAAACAGGAGTTAAAACTCACTTTTAAGAGTTCGATAATTAAAACATGCAGTTAGCAAAGCACAGAGGCATGCTTTTGTCGGGAAAATTTAAAAAGGCCGCCACAGCAGCGCAAGCTCGCGCCACGGTGGCGGGTCCCACATCAGGGAGGGAGATCTTATGGTTCCAGCGGCCTAAGGGCCTTGGCGGCGGCAGGCCCCAGTAACACGAGGAAGTCCTTGGTTCCAAAAAGATTTATTGTCATGACGGATAATAGATGGATCTAGGCATACCCCCCCAAAACTCAGGGCAGTCCCGAGTTATATAGGGAGGGAGAAAGGGGGAGGATTGGGGGAGGATCTGGGGGAGGAATGTTTAATTTGCTCTGCCCTCTGGCCTTCATTAGTGTGCAAATCTCTAGGGCCTGAGGCCTATAGCCTGGCCTATGTGACTCTATGGAGATCTATGTGACTGTTTTTCAGGATCCTAGATGATGGGAGGGACCGAACTCCTGCCGGTTCTCACGCAGAATTCCACGGAGAATCTCGGGGTTCTAAGTACCTGCTCAACCATGACCCAGGATACCATTATGCAGTCCCACATGCTTTAATCTGTTTGACATGATGTAGTGATGGCAAAATTATCCCCGTGAATCTGTGAGACCTGATGTTATTAGCCAAAAATAGTCACTCAGAGTTAGGACTGTGGTGAGCTAAATTTATACCTGAAAAGGCTTCATGAAGAGACCATCCTTTAACCATCAGCATTAAAACAAATGTGACGAGAGGCTGATCTGACCTAAGATTTTTCATGTGAGGGCCTTTGATTTCTTCTCATTTGGACAGGTATGGCTCAGTAACAGGCATGAGACCGCAGAATTCCAGCATAGTCACCGAGCTGGTCCTTGTTGGGTTTTCTGACCAACCCCAGACTGAGGTTCCCCTCTTCTTCTTCTTCTCTCTGGTCTACCTAGCCAACTGCTTGGGGAATACAGCTGTTGTCACATTAGTGGCTCTAGATGTCTCTCTGCAGACACCCATGTATTTCTTCCTGTGCCACCTGGCTGTCCTCAATGGATTCTTCAGCATGGTTGTGACTCCAAAGATGCTCTTCAATTTCCTTGCAAGCAGGAAGGTCATATCTTACCCATTCTGCCTGGCTCAGACTTACCTCACCTTGTTCTTGGAGTCGACCGAGTGCTTTCTCCTTGCAGTGATGGCCATAGATCGCTACGTGGCCATCTGCTACCCACTGAGGTATCTTCTGATCATGAGCTGGGCGGTGTGCACGGCACTGGCAGTGGCGGTCTGGGTCACAGGCTTTTGTGCCTCGGTTATACCTCTCTGCTTCACGATCCTCCCACTCTGTGGTCCTTATGTTGTTGATTATCTTTTCTGTGAGCTGCCCATCCTTCTGCACCTGTTCTGTGCAGATACGTCTCTGCTGGAGGCCACGATGGCCGTTGGAGGGGCTGGTACTGTGCTGTTCCCGTTCCTGCTGATTGTTCTCTCCTACCTTCGCATCCTGTTGGCTGTGATAAGAATAGACTCGGCTGAGGGCAGAAAAAAAGCCTTTTCAACCTGTGCTTCGCACTTGGCTGTGGTGAGCATCTATTACGGAACGGGGCTGATCAGGTACTTGAGGCCCAAGTCGCTTTACTCCGCTGAGGGAGACAAACTGATCTCTGTGTTCTACGCCATCATTGGCCCTGCGCTGAACCCGTTCATCTACAGCCTTCGGAACAAGGAAGTGCAGGGCGCCTTGAGGAGAATGGTCGAGAAATACAAGAAAAGCACAAGAATCGCCTTCTAGAATCTTCAGGAGCTGAGTACTGTGTTCGTTTACCAACATTTTAACAGGTTTAAGCCCAGAGTCTGTGAGACTCAACCTCACTGGTCACAATTTCAACTGACCAGAACTCCTCCTCCTGCCCCCAACACACAGAGACTTTTCTTTCATGTTTGTCATCTTTATGAGTAAATACTGACGTGTATTAATTAGGAGTCAACGTTTCATCTATCAGCTCAATCAAATGGGAATAATAGAACCAAGAATATATGTGAACACATGGACCTCACCTCAAGAATGTTGTTACTGAGTGCATTCTCTATTCTCTCTCTCCCTCCCTTCCTCCCTCCCTTCCCTCTCTCCCTCCATTCCCTCTCTCCCTCATCCCTCTCCCTCTCCCTCATCCCTCTCCCTTCTCTCTCTCTCTCTCTCTCTCTCTCTCTCTCTCTCTCTCACACACACACACACACACACACACACACACACACACACACACACACATTTTGGTAGCTCAGGTTGGCCTTGAGAACCAACTGCTGATGTGTGCCACCACACTTGGGGATGTCTCAGCTTTCTTTCCATTCATAAGACCTCAGATTGTGCTGGGTTTCTGGTTCCTAATCAGCTGCACTTCATTGAGGAATTTAAAGTAAAGGCAAACCTCAGCTCTATGAGAATTAAAGGCAATGAGTACTGCAGCTGGCATTGGCGTTGCCATGGTATTGGGAGATACCTAGGACATGGCTACCTACCCTTCACAGGCTTCCCCTTTGCAGAGCTGTAATACTTTGGACATTCTGGCTATACCAGGAAACTTCTCTTCTGGTTACAGGGATGACGAGACCTGAATCAAGATCCTTATCACTTTCTGTGTTCTGCCTCCTCGGAGCAGCCATAACACCCCCAGTAGATAGGCAGCCCACAGCCCAACAAAACCAAATAACAGTAATTTTGTTAATTTACCTATATATACTTATATTAACAAATCCATGTTTCAGAAGGTCATATAAAGGCATTGCAATAGTGTTAATTTTGGAGAAAAAGTATACATTTAATTGGAGGCTCAGCCACTCTTCGTGCAAAGATTTCTATTTGAAAAAAAAATCAGGAAAGCTGACACCCATGCAGATGGGCATGTCATCATTCTAAAGTCACCCTGTCCCCTATCTACCGTCTTACTAATTGCTGTTGGCTGTTGAGGCTTCCAAACTAGTGAATAGCCCTTTTCACAGGCTGGAAGTGCATTAATGAGAGATCTTTTTTTTCCCAACCATGAACACACTCTGCAGTCAGGTCCTTTATTTCTCTTTTGTACACGAGGCCATGAATTCAGATGGCATGGGCTCCAGGAGCTCAGGCTCCTTTCTGTTAGTCCTCATAAAGTGTGCTTCTATCTTATCACATGGTAGTTAAATATAAAGCTCAAGGAACTCGGTATCTCCAGTGAGACTACTGTATGTCTGCACCAGAAGTTAATTGGCAGCACCTCCCTTCTCGATGGACTTTGATTTTCTGGGAAGAGATCAAGGGCCAAAATATTCAAGAGTCTTGCTTTGTTTCTATGTGAGAGAATTTGTTATATTTTTATGTACAGTGACAGAAAAACAGAGACAGAAACAACAGTGGAGTGAGGCACTTCCAAGAACTTGGAGAAAGAGGCAGGTGGACTTACATGAGCTTAAGGCTAGCCTAGTCTACATAGGGAGGTCCAGGAGAACCAGGGCTATACAGTAAGATTCTGTCTCAAAAGAACACACACACACACACACACACACACACACACACACACAGAGAGAGAGAGAGAGAGAGAGAGAGAGAGAGAGGAGGCAGACACACACATACATACATACATACACATACACATTTATGTTCATCTTTTTAAAAATTCCACAGTAAATATATCTATATCTACATGTATATCTATAGGTTACAGAAAAAATACAGTGTAAAGAGGGTGAGAGTTCAAGGGATTTCAGAAGATAGTGAATCAGATCAGTGCTGGGAGGGGGTTGCTGCTGGAGGCAGACTTGAGGGAGAATCTGAAGAGTTCATCTTGAAGCCAACTCCCAAAGTTGGTCATAGCAGGAAACATGTAGGGAGCAGGGAACAGTGGGTCAGTCCAGGTAGACAAACAGGTGGACTGGCAGGCAGTTCAAACAGGCCTCATCAATAGCAGGGCACCGAACCTACTGGAAGATTCAGGGACATTTATGGAGTCCCCTGCTCCTGACACACAACAGGTATAAGATGATAGGTTGGTATGAGGCCAGGCACAGCTGGAAAGGGTGGAGTCTCCCAGGGCAATGCACAGCTGGAAAGACCACTGTTTTATACAATGTGAAGCAATTTAGAATAGGGCACAGCCTGAGCTCAGCATACTGGATTCTTTTGTGGAGTTCTTCTAGGTTCCCCCTGTTTTGTTTCAATTCCAACGGAGCCAAACGTTTAGCTGTTGCAAAATAAAAGTCCCAAGAGCACAGATTTGTCTGCTTCTTAATTCTCTGTGTCTCTTAGTTTCCTAACCTCACATAAAGAACAATTATATATCCAATTCAAATTCTTTTTTTCTAAAAGGTTCATTTATTTTTATTTTATGGGTATGGGTGTTCTACCTGCGTGTAAATTGTATACCATGTGCATGCCTGGTGCCTATGGAGACTAGAAGAAGACATCAGATGTCTTGGGACTGGAGTTACAGATAGTTGTGAGCCACAGTGTGGGTGCTGAGAATTGAACCCAGGTCCTCTGCAGGAGCAGCCAGTGCGCTTAACCACTGAGCAACCTCTCCAGCCCCTAAATCAATTCCTATTCTTATATTGACTGCTAATGCATTTGAGAAGGTACTGGAATTTGTACTTCATTCTGTAAAAATTAACTCATCTTCACTTTTGTTTAGACCAAATAATAGTGCACCTTCATGTCGAAAATATGTTTTGGATTTAACTAGAGATGAAATGTGGAGACGAATTCTTAATCAGTTTAACAGACAGGTTGGTAATGGAAAATAAGGACAAGACTAGAAACAGAGGAGAGTCTTGATGGGAGAGGCACAGAGCGAACTCAGTCTCCCGAGGATTAATTAGGAGAAAGTTTCTGCTCAAGTAATGATTGCGTGGTCTTCCCAGAATCTTAATGGAATTACACAAGAAAGACAGCAAGGTTTTTTTAGACTTATTTTTATTATTTTTGAGAGAGAGAGAGAGAGAGAGAGAGAGAGAGAGAGAGAGAGAGAGAGGTGTCAGAGGGCAACTTGCAGGAGTCAGTTCTCTTCTTCCACCATGTGGGACCTAGGAATCAAATTCAAGTGGTCAGGCTTGAAAGAAAATGCTATTACCCACTGAGCCATCTTTCCATCCTGGGGCACTGTCCCCAATTTCAGTGTTGCAAAAAGCGGTTTCTGAGTCTAAGTCAGACATGAGGACCTTGGCATTGAGGGTGCCTTGTTTTAACAGCCCAGATAGCCAGAGAGAGACAGTATTTAAGAATGTTCCCACTCTGGGTGGTGCACACCTTTAATTACAGCACTGAGGAGGCAGAGCCAGGGAGAGCTCTGTGTCTTTGAACCTAGCTTAGTCTACATAATAAATTCTAGGCCAGCCAGGGATACATAGCAAGACCCTATCTCAAAACACAAACTGGCAGCTGTATGAGTTTTTGTTCAGCTAGTGAACAAAGGCAAGTAGAACTCACTGTTCAGTTTGAGTTTTGATACAAACAAGGAGAACATGATTCAGAAGACAGCTTAAAGGGATGTTGATCCTGGTTTTCTCAGTGTAACACTAGCACTTCTTACATACAAAACCTCACTATGCTGGGTGTGTCAGGAATGAAAATGAGCTGAACCTGTCTATTAAAAGTAGCAATAGAGAGAGAGAGAAGGTTGGAAGAAAGAGACGCTCTCTGTCTGACCCTAGGTGGATCATTGCTTACTCAAGGTGGGAGCATTTTGTCACCTACAGGTGCAAACTGGCTAAAAATGCTTACAGGGGAAGGTGGAATGCTATCTCTTATTGGGGATGATGATTGTGTGATCCACAATGGGAAGCTGGGAAATGTAGTCTTTTAGTAGGAAACTATCAGAACTCTTGAGTTCTCCAAGTAAATTGTTTGAAGAAATTGGATGCCAAAGACTTCTAAGCAGATAGAACAACTGGATTTGGGTTAAACATCAGTTCTTTGAGAAAATACTGTCTTTAGAAATCTTGAACTTCAGCAGAGTGTAGCAATGCAAGTCTTTAATTCCAGCTTCAGGAGGCAGAGGCTGGTGGATTTCTGAGAGGCTGGCTTGGTTGACAGAGAGTTTCAGAATAGTCAGGTGTAACAGTCTGCTGTTAGTGCCAAAAATGGGAGGAGAAAGACCATACAGCCAAATCATGACAGCCAAATTAACCAAAGCAAGCAATCAATTAAAGCAAGCTTTTTTTATTCCTATTTGTGGGCTGCCTCCCCCAATGCAGGATTCAAGGTCAGCATTGGATGTGAGGGAGACAAGGTTTTTATAGCTCAGGGGTAAGGGATTTTTAAATGGAGAATGTGTAGGGCAAAATAGGCAAGGTTTTAGGAGCAGAACATTAACAAGGTTGTCAAAACAAGGTAGTCATAACATTTTGAGACAAAGGTCGGTTGCGAGACAGCCATTACAACTTCTTGAAACAAAGCCATGATTGTAAGGTAGACATAACAACAGGTGACCATAAAAACTTTCTGAAACAAAGACATGATTGTTAGGTAGTCATGACAACAGGTGACCATAGTAACTTTTTGAGACAAAGGCCCAGTTGCATTTCCTGGAATGGCAGTACGGAGCCATTTCCAGTTAAGGCAAGCTGGTTCATCATCTGTCTTAAGAAAAAAGAAAACAGAAAGAAAGAAAGAAAAATGTTGAACTTCAGTGACCTTAATGGTCAGAGAGAGATTCACCTGCAAAATCTTTAAACAAAAATATATGGAGTCTACAATTAAAGAAACATCCCTGCTTCTTGAAGGCATGCCAGCTACAGTCTCAATTCCAAGAAGAACCAAGA